AGATAGATAGATAGATAGATAGATAGATAGATAGATAGATAGATAGATAGATAGATAGATATAGAGCAGGGGCGGGCAAACTATGGCCCGTGGGCCACACTCGGCCCATTGGTCTTTTTAATCCGGCCCGCCGAAGATTGGTACCGAATTAAGGTTTGATATGAATGATTGAATGATTGCATTCATTTGGTTTTCACTTGTAATGACAGGCATTTCGACACCAGGTGGTGGCCCGTCTGTCAAATTTTAAAAGTCAATGAGGCCCCCGAGCCAAAAAGTTTGCCCACCCCTGATATAGAGGGATAGATAGAGATAGAGAGATAGAGATAGAGAGATAGATAGAGATAGAGAGATAGATAGATAGAGAGAGATAGAGAGATAGAGAGATAGATAGAGATAGATAGAGATAGATAGAGACAGGGAGATAGATAGAGATAGAGAGAGATAGAGAGAGAGATAGAGAGATATGCTAGACACACACAGAGAGACAAATTTCCTGAGACAGATGTTAGAACAAATACAAGTTCCACTTTCTTCTGATTCTCCCTGCTTGGAGTCATTTCATAGTTTACATAGCAATCATTGCCGGTTGCAAATGCTTGACTCCCAAAATAATTAAGACTCTTGTTAGTACGTCAACGTGCTGGATTTATCTCCTACAAACTTGAATGCAGCTACACATCAATGTTAAGCACGCAGCTAAGCTGTAGAACCTGTCAAGGCTGGAAATGATAACAGTCAATGTAAATGTACTCCATTGAGACAGTGGACATCATTGAGCAAAAGGTCCCCTGCTTTGGACTTTGGGCCAAATGGTGTGACACCTGCCATTTTCTTGTGAGACAGCAACAGTTCCATTGCTGTTTTAGGAGAACAGAGGCAGGTTGCAGTTTGGATTGGAGCAGGCATTCAGTTGTCCTTATTCATGTACTGTTGATATACATCTACTATATTGTATCATGGATGACATAGCTTTTAGAGGAAACCCTATATAATTTTGGACAAATTGTCATTCCAATCTCTTCTTAAAAACCTCTAGTGACCCACAACTTCTAGAGGTAAGCTGTTCGGTTAATTAACTCTTCTGATTATCAGAAAAATTCTCCTTATTTTTAGGTTGCTTCTCTCCTTGATTAGTTTCCATCCATTGCTTCTGGTTGCTTTAGAAAATAGCTTGACCCCCTCCTCTCTGTGGCAGCCCCTCAAATATTGGAAGACTGCTATTATGTCTCTCATAGTCCTTCTTTTCTCTAGACTAGCCATGCCCAGTTCCTGCAACCATTCTTCATATGTTTTGGTCTCCAGTCCCCTAATCATATTTTTTGATCTTCTTTGCATTCTTTCCAGAGTCTCAACATCTTTTTTTATATTGTTGTTGTTGTTAGTTGCGAAGTCGTGTCAGACCCATCGCGCCCCATGGACAACATTCCTCCCTGCCTTCCTGTCCTCTTCCATCTTCTGGAGTCCATTTAAGCTCACACCGACTGCTTCAGGGACTCCATCCAGCCTCCTCCTACTCTGCCATCCTCTTCTTCTTCTTTTGCCCTCCATCGTTCCCAGAATTAGGCTCTTCTCCAGTGAGACCTTCCTTCTCACTAGGTGGGCAAAGTATTTTGAGTTTCCTCTTCAGGATCTGGCCTTCTAAAGAGCAGTCAGGGTTGATCTCCTCTAGGACTGACCGGTTGGATGGCCTTGCAATCCAAGGGACTCGCAGGAGTCTTCTCCAGCACCAGAGTTCAAAGGACTCCATTCTTTGGTGCTCAGCCTTCCTTATGACCCAACTTTCACAGCCATACATTGCAACTGGGAAAACCACAGCCTTGACTCTACACCCTTTTGTTGGCAGGGTGGTGTCTCTGCTTTTTAGTATGCTGTCTAGATTTGCCATAGCTTCTCTCCCCAGGAGGAAGCGTCTTTTAATTTCTTGGCTGCAGTCCCCATCTGCGGTGATCTTGGAGCCCAGGAAAATAAAATCTGTCACTATCTCCATTTCTTCCCCATCTATTTGCCAGGAATTGAGAGGGTCAGATGCCATGATCTTAGGTTTTTATATTATGGTGGTCCAAACTGAATGCAACATTCAAACTATGGGTCTTACAAAGGCACTGTTTAAGTGTTTACAGATTTCTAGTTTCAGGTCTAATAGCATCTTACCATCCAGGAGTCCCCCCAGAAGCATTGGAATGTTGGAAATAAATTTTGAACTATGTTGGTAAGGAAGATCTTGATGTCCCAGATGGTTCCTGAAATGAAAGGGTTGAATATTGTTGGAAATGTGAGATTATGAAAGGTTGCCTTAGAGTTTCTTGGGAGCACCTGGCTGAGAATTGTTGGCAGGAACAGCTCTACCACTTGATCCAGTCTGAATTTCCAGGGGTGTGTGGAAACGTCTTTGACCACTGTTGGAACTAGCAAAAAGTTCCTTTACAAGCATGTACAGTTCCTGCTGTTGGAAATGGGAGAGAAGATGGAGTTCCACAAATGGATTCGGTTTTATTTTATTTATTTAGTTTGTCAAGCATGTATGAGAAAACAAGTATAAATATGAACATAACATATAAATGTATAAGAATAAATAGGTATAAGTATATACATAATACCTAAGTACAAATAAATGGGAACAGTAGAACAGAGATGGTAGGCACGCTGACGCACTTATGCACACCCCTTTACAGACATCTTAGGAATGGAGTGAGGTCAACAGTAGACAGTTTAAGGTTAAAGTTTTCGGGGTTTGAGGATGTCACAACAGAGTCAGGTAGTGAGTTCCAGGCGTTGACCCCTCTGTTGCATAGAATTTGGAGTGGTTGACTTTTGAGTTTGTATCTATTGTTTGCCGGTGTATTATTGTGGTGGAAGCTGAAGTAGTCATAGGACATTGAAAGTTCCCTGGAAGAATCGACTTGAGCACAGCTGGAAGGAGAAAGAGGCTGTCCAAAAATAGAATGGGTCTCCTGCTTGAGCAGCGGGTTGGACTAGAAGACCTCCAAGGTCCCTTCCAGCTCTGTTCTGATTGATTGATTGAAAGAAGCTTGAACCCAGGGAAGTCCTTCTCCCAAACTCAGCAGACTCCAGATTGAAGCCAAGCCAGGCAAAGGCTGCTGTTGCATCCTGTGTAGAAGAAGCGCCTGTGTTTTTTCGGGGTGGGGGTGGATGGAAGAGTGGGGTGTGTGTGTGTGTGAGAGAGAGGACCAAAGGGAAAGCAAGGCGCTCAGCTCTCCCTCCAATTGGCCCACCTCTTCCCCAACCTTCAAAGTTTTTCCCGAAGCCCGGAAACTTTCACCCACCAATCGCCTTCCTTCTCCCGGCCCTCCCCCCTCCCACTCTCGGACCCGTCCCCCTCCCACCTCCAGTTTATGCCTATTGCAACGAGGTGGTGCTGAAGGAGTGCCCGGAGCCCTTTCCCTCCGCCCCGGAGTAGGAGGGAGGGAGGGAGGATAAAGCCAGATAGCGGATCGGGCTCGGCCTGGAGAGGCGGAGGGCCGAGGCAGCGGCAGCAGGCAGGAGGGGGTGGGGGGGCAAGAGGAAGAGGAGGAGGAGGAGCGCCTGCCAAGAGCTCCGCGGCTGCTGGGATTCCCGCGGCGGGAGCAGCCCAAGTGGGGTCCGCGCAGCTATGCCGGGGGGTCTCGGGAAGCTGCTGCGGCTGGGAGGTCTCGGGACGCTTTAGGCAGACCTGCGACGGGGCCGGACAGAAGAAGGTCGAGGGCGCCGGGCAGCCGAGCGGCGTTCCCTTCCTTCCTTCCCTGGAGCTGGGTGCCCGCGGGGAGGAAGAAGACGCCCCCGCAGGAGAAGAGGGGGAGCCAGCTGAGCGAGTCCCGGGGGCTTGACGAGGAGGAGGAGGAGGAAGAAGAAGAGGAGGAGAAGGAGGAAAAAGAAGGAGAAAAAGAAAAAGAAGAAGAGGAGGAGGAGAAAGAAAAAGAAAAGGAAGGAGAAAAAGAAGAGGAGGAGGAGGAGGAGGAGGGAGGGGTCCCGTCCGCTAGCGGGCCCTTGGGCGCGGGGCCAGGATGAGCCTCCTGTCCGCCATCGAGACCACCGCCGCTTCGGTGTACCAGCCGGCCCAGCTGCTCAACTGGGTGTACCTCTCCTTGCAAGACACGCACCAGGCCAGCGCCTTCGACGCCTTTCGCCCGGAGTCCGCCGCCTCCACGCAGCCCCCGGAGCTCGGCTACCCCGGCAAGAGCGGCGCCGAGCTGGGCTCCTCCTCGCTCAACTCCAGCTACCTAAACAGCTTCCTCCAGCTGCAGCGGAGCGAGGTGAGCGGCGGCCCGGGAAGAAGGGCGGGAAGGGACGGAGGGGGTGGGGGGCGTGTGTGTGTGTGTGTGTGTGTATGGGGGGGGGCGAATCTCTCGGCTGGGGCTCGGCGACCCGGAGGGAGGTTTGACTCGGACGGCGGCCTCGGCCAAAGGGAAAGAAAGGAGAGGCAAGCGAGGCGGGGAAAAGTTAGCTCATCCTTGAAAACTTTGGTACCGCCATGATGCTTTTCACAGGATGTGGCTTTTCGTAAATGGTTTCAAGATCCTTCCTTCCTTCCTTCCTTCCTTCCTTCCTTCCTTCCTTCCTTCCTTCCTCTCTTCCTCCCCCCCCGTCCTTTCCCCCCTCCCCTTCATCTTCCCCTCTCTCCCTTCCTTCCCCTCTTTTTCCCTCCCTCCCTCCTTCTTTCCTCCTCCCTCCCTCCTTCCTTCCTTCCTTCCTTCCTTTCCCTCTTCCTCCCTCCCTTCCTCTCTCCCTCTGTCCTTCTTTCCTCCTCCCTCTCTCCCTCTTTCCCTCTCTCCCTCCATTCTTTCTTTCCTTCTTTCCTTCCTTCCCCTCTTCCTCCTTCCCTCCATCCTTCTTTCCTCCTACCCTCCTCCTCTCCCTCCTTCTTTCCTTCCATCCTCCCCCTCTCCTTCCCTCCCTCCTTTCCTCCTCCCTCCCTTCCCCTCTCCCTCCCTCTTCCTCCCTCCCTTCCTTTCTTCCCCTCTTCCTCCCTCCCTCCCTTCCTCTCTCCCTCCTTCTTTCCTTCCTTCCTTCCCCTCTTCCTCTCTCCCTCCCTCCCTCTTTCTTTCCTCTCCCTCCCTCCCTCCATTCCTTCCTTCCTTCTCTTTGCTGGATTATTTGAAAACTGGAAGGTATTTGCTGATTCAATCGGCAGATTTTACCCGCAATAAAGGGAAAAATGACTTTGAAAGATGTTTCTCTTCTTGGGAAGAAGATGGGGGAATCTCTAAGTCAAATGATTGTCTCTGTTTAGACTCTGGTCTTAAGGAAAGTAGTGAGGAGAACTTTCTTGAATGCATTGCACAGTCGAACAACAGGTTGTGGCTTGAACTGGGACACAGTTCACATCGGTTTCCTATTTTGATCCCTGGGGAGGGAGTTATTTTGAGAGGCATGGGGGAAGTATATCTGAAGAATGCCCTCAGATTCAAGGCAGGCTTCCTTGGAGCTTCACAATGGCGTTGTGGTGTTGTGTTGGTATTAGGGTCAATAATTATCCAGGATAAGGGCATGATGACAAGATATAATGACACGTAAAATCTATGGGGGGAGGAGATGTGGGCAGACGTGTTACCATTGCGGATCCACCTTTGCATGGAACATGATTAATTTCTGCGTCTCAGATAACCCAAGAGTAGCCCTTCTGGATCAGGCCAAGGTCCATCACGATCCAGTCACTGGGAAGGGACCTCACAGTATCTTTTGCAATCCCTCAACCATCGTTGGGCTTGACTTCCCCCTTCAAGAATGTCTTGGGACAGATGACAGAACTCACTAGCGGGGAATGTGGTTTGGCTTCCCACCATGTTTAGTTAGAATGCTTTGAGGAGGCTTGCAAGCAGAAGGTGGAGAGGAAGTGGACTTCTCCTAGCCTTGTTCTTCTGGAACAAGGATTTGGAGCAGTGGTCTCCAAACTTGGCAACTTTAAGACTTGTGGACTTCAGCTATGCTGGCTGGAGAACTCTGGGAGTTGAAGTCCACAAGTCTTAAAAGTTGCCAAGTTTGGAGACCCCTGATTTAGACGCACATTGTCCCCCATCCAAAGATAACATTGACTCTCTAGATGAGAGTTTCTTAGCCTTGGATGCTTGAAGATGCATAGAGTTCAATTCCAGCAGAGTCGGATGGGAAATTCTGGGAGTTGATATCTGCTTGTCTTCATGGTCTCCATCCCACCCCTGAAAGGACCTAATGGTAAAAACTGCAATCATGACACCATTAAAGCCAACCTCTTTAACACATTCTTTGGCTCAGTATTTGTAAACAGCCCAGTATTTATTTGTAAATCATGCCCAGTATTTCCTAGTCGAACCACAGACAACTACAATGATCTAATACATATCGATTTTACAAAAGACAATATTGAAAAAGCACTACGCAATCTAAAACCATCCCTATCTATTGGACCGGATGGAATATGTGCCTGCTTTTTTAAAAAGCTATCCACTGCCATAGCCGAACCTCTAAGCATAATCTTTGAAAAATCTTTCAGGACCAGCTCCTTGCCAAAATTATGGTCCAAGCCACAGTCATCCCCATCTTCAAAAAGGGAGACCCCAGCCTAGTTGAAAATTACAGACCAATCTCCTTATGCTGAGTCACCTGTAAAGTCATGGAATCAATTATTAACCAACCCATTATCTTCCACTTAGAGACAAACAACCTACTCTCTAATAAACAATTTGGTTTCAGAAAAAAACTATCCTGCAATCTGCAACTCTTACACTGCAAAAACACATGGACTACACAACTTGATCAGGGCAAAACAATACACACAATCTACATAGACTTCTGTAAGGCCTTTGATTCAGTGGTACACAACAAACTACTCCTAAAACTAAAATCTTATGGTGTCTCTGGACACATGCATAACTGGATAGAAGCATTCCTGTCAAACAGACAACAAATGGTCAAAATTGGGAGCGTCCTATCAAATTTTGTACCTGTCAATAGTTGTGTCCCCCAAGGCAGTGTTCTAGGACCAACTCTCTTCATACTCTACATAAATGACCTCTGTGATCATATCAAGAGCAACTGCGTCCTCTTCGCTGGTGATGTAAAGCTATTCAACACCACAAACAATACTGATACCATTCAAAAAGACCTTGACTATGTATCAGAATGGTCAATCAAATGGCAACTTCAAATTCAACAAACAAATGCTCTGTCTTACATATTGGCAAAAAAATAATAATCAGAAAATAAAATACAGGCTGAATAGTCAAAACCTTGTTGATGATCCATACTCTGTCAAGGACCTTGGAGTACTCATCTCTAATGATCTAAGTGCTAGAGCCCACTGTAACTACATAGCCAAAAAGGCATTAAGAGTTGTTAACCTAATCCTACGTAGCTTTTTCTCTGGTAATATAACACTACTAACTAGAGCATACAAAACATTTGCTAGATCAATACTCGAATACAGCTCATCAGTCTGGAACCCATATCATGTATCTGATAGTAACACAGTTGAGAAAGTCCAGAAGTATTTCACAAGAAGAGTTCTCCGCTCCTCTACTCGTTGCAGAATACCTTATGCCACCAGACTTGAAACTCTAGACCTAGAAAACTAGAACTAGGCCCACCTTTGGTGCGATCTAAGTATAGTTTATAAAATCATACATTGCAATGTCCTACCTGTCAATGAATACTTCAGCTTCAACCATAACAATACAAGAGCAAACAATAGATACAAACTCAAGGTTAATCGCACCAAACTTGATTGCAGGAAATACGACTTCAGCAACAGAGTGGTCAATGTCTGGAATACTCTACCTGACTCTGTGGTTTCTTCCCCAAACCCCAAAAACTTTAACCTTAGACTACTATTGACCTCACCCCTTTCCTAAGAGGTCCGTAGGGGGCGTGCATAAGCCTGCCAACGTGCCTACCGTCCCTGTCCTATTGTTTCTTTTTATTTTTCTTATATGTATCCATGTATTCATAACTATGTTTTTACTTATACCTATTATCTTGTAAGCAATTAACAAACCAAATAAAATAAAATAAATAAAAATAAATGGTTCCAAGATTACTGGTCTAGGATCATGGTCTTTAAGAGATTGGTCTTTAAAGGAAAGTATCCAAACTCCATCATTGCATCATGTGAGACTGAATTCCACAATTAAGTTTGGCAATTTTTTATATTCCCTGTCAGTAAGCTGCATGGGCTGACCCCTGATCCTAGTGGATGGAGATAAATGTCTCCCTATCTTCTCTTTCCATGCCATGCAGAAATCTAAGGTCATCATCAGTAGGCTGATCTAGGAAGTCAAACAAACATCCTGGAGAAAAGAGATTCATTTCCTAGTTTTGTTGTCAAAAAGCCCTGCAACAGGTCAAAGTTCTTCCTTCCTCCCTCCCTCCATCTCCCTCTCCCTTCCTCCCTCTCTCCACTTTCCTTCCTTCTTCCCTCCCTCCACTTTCCTTCCTTCTTCCCTCCCTCCACTTTCCTTCCTCCCTCCCTCCACTTTCCTTTCTTCCTCCCTCCCTCCACTTTCCTCCCTCCCTTCCTTTCTCCTGCCTGTTACTATATTGTACAAGCATTGGGAAAGTGTCTTAGCCACAGTTACCATAATCCCCAACCAAGGCATCCAGTATTGCTTGGACATGTTATTGTCAGCCATTCAGTCATGTCCAACCCTTTAACCATTCTATGGATCAGCACTCTCCATGCCCCTCTGTCTTGCACTGCCCCCTTCAGATCCATCACAGTCATTCCGGTGTCATTCTTGATAGTGTCCAGCCAGCGTTTCCTTTTTCCCAGCATGGAAATTGACTTTTCAAATGAGTCAGCTCTAATGACATGATCAAAGTATGATGGCCTCTGTTTGGCGATCTTGGCTTCAAGTGATTTTTTTGGGTGAAATTCATTCCAGGACTTCTTTGTTTATTATTGATGCAGTCCATGGGATGGGTAATAGCCATAGCCCTTAGACTTCTATACCGCTTCCCAGTGCTTCCCAGCCCTCTCTAAGTGGTTTTACAGAGTCAGTCTCTTGCCTCCAACAATCTGGGTCCTCATTTTACCCACCTCAGAAGGATGAAAAGCTGAGTCAAGATGGAAGGTCAGGATCGAACTGCCAAATTGCAGAAGTAGCCTGCAGTACTGCACTCTAACCACTGCACCACCATGGCTCATGTAATGGTCACCTCCAGCCCCACAGATCAAAGGTGTTGAACCTTTTCCTACCTACCTTTTTCAGAGTCCAAGCCATAAGTAACAATTGGAAAAATTATTGCATCAATCTACATTTAGAGATGAATAGAATATTGA